GCTTGGAATCTATTACCGTCACTTTGACGTTCCCGCCTCGTGAAATGAGAAAACGAGTGCATCTCGAAATCTCTCTTGGTAAATGACCCACAATTGAATCAGCTAACCGTCCTGGAAGTCGCTTGGTTGCTGCTATCGCATAACGATCATGAATATTGTTTCTTTCATGGAAGCAATGCAAGGTTTCTCCAATTACTGGTTTCCAGATATCTTGGTAGACATGAAATCCTCGCAAACCACACCGGAAGGAGGTTCTTATAGAATCACTCATCCTGCTCGTGTTGACAGTGTAGAAAATACCGGAATATTTTGACAAGTACCTCGTACAACACTGACTGAACGACGAAAACACGTGCAAAGATAAAGTTCTGACTGACGCAAGCATCAAACCTGTCAATCTGTCAAATGTAATTGACCTTTGTACTTCAGTTGTTGTAGCCTCGCTAATCTTGAGAGTCGCTTGAGTATTTATCATGTCTTTATTTCAGTTTGGGTTTACTGTTAAAGAAACAGTAAATTCCCAAAACTCTGCTGCACACTCTCAACCTGCAAATGCTGGTGCATGTGCCTTTTTACCGAAGCAGGAGGCTACTAATCTTGGAAGCGAGGAATACAATGAAGTTGTATTGTCGGTGGGAGACGCTGTAGATCCTAACAAGAACTTGTCATCGAAAAGAAAGCGAGGAAATTACAACCATTACTCTCCTGAATTGCGTGCACAAATCGGTAAATATGCTAGCGAAAACGAAATCTAAGAGCCCTGAATCACTTTAAAGCACAGCTACCAAACCTTAAAGAGAGTACGGTGAGAACCTTCAAACAAGCATATCAGAAGAAACTGAAGGAAATGAAGAGACAAGGAATACAAGAAAGCGTGACTTCTATTCCACACGACACCCGAGGCCGCCCGCCGCTCCTTCTTGATCTTGACCAGAAACTGATATTACTTTTGAAGAGCATACGAAACAGAGGTGGTGTTGTTAATTTCAATGTTGTCAAAGCCTCAGCCTTGGCATTAATAAAGAGCAATCCCGCAAAAGACTTCAGGGGATTTGAGCCAACCTCGACCTGGGTGAAATCAATTTATCGATGGTGTAACTTCTCCAGGCGAGCTGGAACCACAACAAGACCCCCCGTTCCTTTAGGGATCTATGAAGAGTGCAAATTAACATTTTTAACTGACATCAAGAGTTGCATTGCAGTGCACAGTATTCCTCTGCAGCTTGTTCTTAACGCCGATCAGACACCTTCATCGTACGTCTCCGTTGGAAAAACGACAATGGCAGCCCGCAATTCCTCTTCTGTGCCAATCAAAGGTCTTACAGACAAAAGAAACATCACTCTCACATTTGTTATCTCTTTAAACGGCGACTTCCTGCCTATGCAAATAATTTATCAAGGGAAGACCAAAGCAAGTCAACCGAGAGGCTTTGACTTTCCACACGGGTTCGTAGTAACGCAGAATCCCAAACACTACTCGAACGAACTGGAAACTCTCAATCTACTCGACAACATCATTCAACCATACGTTGTCCTAAAGCGAAAAGAACTGAATTTGCCAGCCACACAGAAGGCATTGTTGATTTGGGACGTATTTAAAGACCAGAAGACAGCCAAGGTTTTATCTAAACTGGCAACAATGAACATTGAAGTGGTTAGTGTGCCAGCAAATATGACCCATTTCTTCCAACCCCT